GAGAAAGAGGCTGGTGTCTGTGCTTAATGTGGCAACATCTAAATTATTGTTTAGTTTTTATTCCCAAGTCAAAAATGTTATTTAACATCACTAAATCAACCTGAATATATTAGGCTAAACCAAAAATAAATAAATAAATAAAGTAAGGCTTAGGTGAGGTAGAAACAGCTACTAATAGGTAACAGTTACGTTGTACATGTGAACATTTTCTTCTGAAGTCTAGGAAACTAAAGAGGAGACTTGGTTGTAGGATTCTTTATTGAGAACACAGTACCTGCAGTCATCATGTCTAGTCTGAGGGAATCTTACATTGTAGTTTATATACATTTCAAGGGGGTGGGATTACATAGTGGTGTCATGTAAATGAAGTACAGGAGTCCATTTCTCCAGTCCTAATCTCATCAGCATAACAGTCTCATTCACATATCTTGATGATTATCCAATCAGCCTAAATATTCAACGACTGAGCCAGTGGCTTACAGAGCCATTAAAGACAAAGTGTCTCAGTAATCTGATTCATTTAACTTACAAAGAGAATACGATTGGCAGAACTCTCATGCATAACATCATCATCATAACCTTAAAATGTAAAACACAATGTACATAACTTTCTCAGTTTATATTCTATATTATTGGAACCTAAATTAAACATTGAATACATTTGTAATACAACACAGGTTACCATGTTGCTTTATTATGCAGGCACAAGAAACCAAATCAAATGTGCATATGTTTGAACTTTCAAAAAATGTTGTGCGTTTAAAGGACACACGTTACAGAAAACAGTCTCTAGAGGAAAAAAACGAAAGGAAAAATCTGCTCACACATCCCAGCACCCCTCCTCCACTACAGCTCTGCCTGTTGTCTGAGAACATGGCACCCCCCTCTCTCTCTTTCTCTGCAGCTTTTCCACTCCCCCATTACTTTCATTGTGGTTCAACTCTGAACTCTGGCATCATCTGTTTGTGCTTAACGTTTGCAGCGTGTGCACTGACTTTCCTATTCCTTTTTCTCCCTTAAGGTGCAGTCACATTAGCGAAATTTTGTGGACCAAAAAAGTAAAATGCGTCTTGTCAATAGTGAGCTGATGTATGAAGTACAGCTCACACAAAAATCACTTTCAAACCAAGGAGAGATCTGCTCAATATGGCAAATCTGTCCTACCAACTTGAATCCCTTGCAGAATCTGCATTGAGAAATGTTGTGCTCACACTATATTCCCGATTGTGTGAATTTCTGCAAAATTTTGCTGGCAAAAAAGGTGCATTTTATCTTAGCGTTGTATGAATTCAATTACAAACCAAGCATCTGGCATAATGTGGTGAATCCGCTTGACAAACTGTCGCAAATCAGTGTTAGGAAATGTTCCACTCTCAAGAGAAATTCTGTGGATTCCTGTTGAAATTACTGTATTTTAACTGCACTTTTAACCCTGTCCACTCCTTCACCTCCTTTCCTTACTACCTTTGTCTCATTCTTATCAGAATTATTTTGTCCACCGTCTTCCTTATCCTGTTCTTCTCCATCATATTTTCCTTTTTTTTTTTCTTTTTTCTTTTTTTTGCGTGGTCATTTCCTCATGCTCTCTCTCTCTCTCATTCTCTTTTTTTTCTGTCCTTCACTTCACTGTCTTTCACTGGCCGAGAGCCAGGCGTCTGCTCTTAGAATAAACGTAAATTGCTGCTGCATTTGGCAACTTTCTTTGCGCTCACACATAAATTCAGACGCTCTTACAGAGACTCGCATATACTCAGACAGAGATGCAGACAGCAGAGTCAGAGCCTCAATCCAGGATTATTTGGGGTCTCTTCATTGTATTGTGTCGTAAGACATTCCCTACGGGAAGCACCTGCAGCTAAGCAAATGCATAGAACTATCCTTAAATTCTTATCTATCACATCAGTTATTTGGACTATACAAGAAATTCTCGTAAAGTAATTACGCTCTTTCAGCTAGTCAGTAGTTATGGACTTGGTAATTGGAGATGGACATCCAAAGACATCAGAATCAAAATTGAAAGAGGGTTGTTTAAAGAGAAAGTGAAAGTGTGACAGAGGGAGAGTTGGAGTGTATTGTGCAGCTTTTCAGTAGGCTAGTCACATCGTATCGCTCCACTCAGACCTGTCACGCTGAAAAATGGCCTGGTGGCGATTCCTTTAGCTCCGTACCCACTGCAATTAAGTAAATGGAACCAGGACTCAGTCAGTCCCCTCCCGGACCACCCAAAAATGCATTGATTTGATTATTTTTTTTTATTCTCTTGCAGGGGAATGAGCACATTTGCTAAATGCAGGAGATTTAGACATTTTAAAAAAACTTAATTTAATTATGCTCTGGAGATTCATTTAGCTGCATTAGAGCTAGAAGTGCCCTGGGCGTGTCTGTATGGCTGGAGGATGAGAGGGGGGACTGGTAGCACAGAATCTACTGAATTTGAAAAAGACCTTCAAGTTACAGGCTCGACTCTAACCATTAGGCCACAACTGCCCACATAAGTTCACATAACTTAACTTTTTCAATTTTAAATAGTTTATTTACTTAATTTTAAGGCACTTTTATCATTCCAAGTTATGTCAGCTGATCACTTTTTACAATGTACAGAGAGAAAGAAATAGTGTGCTGAATGTCCCTGCATGTGATTGACACGATGACAAGATTGACATAATTTCGGATTTTGACCAGATTGCAGCAAGGTCATTTCTTTCCTGTGGATCCAAGTTACTTTTGATTTCATGCAGACTTTAATGAGCTATTTCTGCTTAATCTGTTAAAGTTGCATTTGTCATTTGAACCCTGATGTATTGTTTCAGTAATATTAAATCGTTTTTGTTTTTTTTCTGATGTAAACAATGTTACAATGTAAAGCACATTTTTTTATTTTTTATTTTTTTTTTCCTGACACAAAAAAAGCTTTTACATTGTAACAAAAATAAAGGGTGTTGTTTGGACATTTTTTTTTAGCAGAAAATGCTTGGTTTTGGGTTGGGAATTCAGAAGTTCCTGTAGAAGGAAGAATGGGTGCTCCACCTCTGCATGAGTGATTGACAAAATAGAAACAGTCAAACAAAACAGTTTCCAGAATAGTTCACCCAATTTGATTCTTGTTGTTTTGTTTACGTATATGCATTTATTTATTGTTTGAGAGAAGAAATAATAGCTAATAATGTTAATAACAACAAAAATATACAAGAGCAAACCAAGGTTATTTTCATAAATGAAAACTGAAACTAAGACTGATCAAAAAAATAATAATTTTTTCGTAAACTGAAATAAAATATAAAATTCTTAAGAAAAACGAAACTAACAACAGTTACTGAAAAACTAAATAATACTGAAATAAAATAATCATATAATTAACATAAATAAAAAAATAGTTTTCGTAATTAATTAGCTCTCAAACTGTACCGGAAAAATCACGTTTTTCCACTTTGGGCTGCGTTAGGCCTTATTTTTCAATGTAAACACGCGCGTCTCGCACGACACGCGTTCTAAAACGCCGCCACTCAAGTTAAAATAAGTTCAACTTTTAAAAGACGCGGCTTGAGACCTTGCGCTTTTCCCCGCCCCATTCCACTGCCCGCGTCTCGTGTATTGCAAAGCAAACCAGCAAGTGAACCACAGCCTTAGAAGACAAAAAGGCCAAATAAGATCTTTTATCATGTCTCAATAAATGCAAATACAACTGTACCTTAATTCAAGGTAAGATAACCATCTCATGTGAAACTTAGACTAGTAAACAAGATACCACACTTAAAAAAATAATTGCATGTCTCTAGGCCACAGATGCTTTTCAGAACAGAAGTAAACTAAATGTCTGGTCTGAATAGAACACATGAGTAGCCTATGATATTAAAATATAGCTACAATAGACAAAAAGCATAAATGGATCAATACAAGAATAATATTTGAAAGGATCCATCATAGAAGTAACCATAAAAGAATAATTATTATAATATACATTTTTTTTCCTCCTGAATGAAATGTCTTACTCAAAGTTTTCACTCTGCTAAACTGTAATTACTAAAAACGAACTAAACCGTATGGGTGGTGATGGCGCTGTGGACAAGACGCATGCCTTTGGTGTGAGAGACCCAGGTTTGAATCCACTATGAGACACCAATGTGTCCCTGAGCAAGACGCTTAACCCCTAGTTGCTCCAGAGGCGTGCGACCTCTGACATAGATAGCAATTGTAAGTCGCTTTGGATAAAAGTCAGCTAAACTAACTCAAATTAAACTGAAATTTGAAAATAAAAAAAAAAATATAACAACCTTGCAACAAACAAACAAAAAAAAAAAACAGAATCTAACTTGCAAGAGGGGAGAGGTATTACAAAAGAGGAAAATACAGTTGCAAGATAATTCATGCTCACTCATATTCTGCATGCTGAGTCTCAACTATTTCAGTTTGTGTGTGGTTGATTGTTTCTTAAGAGAGAGAGAGAGAGTTTCTGTTCTTTCTCTGTCCCTCTATTCTCTGCCATTTGAACATCCATGCAAACACTGCTGCTGTGCCCCAAGGCCTACTGGGGTTGCTATGGTTACAGCAGTTATCACTGAGCCTGTCTTACTAACCGTAAACATTGGGAAAAAGAGTTTTTTCTTTCTTTCTTTGCAGTGCACGTCATGTTACATAAGAACCCTGATTTGCTATTAACTGAAGGCTTTTTTTTCTCCTTTTTTATGTGAATGAGGGAATGGAAACAAAAAGTTAATTTGGGCCTCTATGACTTCCAAATGTCCTGCAGTTTTCCTTCTCCTTCAAGTAAATTTACCACCCTATCAAAGTGAACACACAGTGCCTCCTGCTGGTCACGAGGAAGTAATGCATCCTCGACTATTTTGATTGGATGACTTTTCAAATCTAGTTTGGCTGTCCAGATTAAGCATCTAAACAACTGAGCTTCATGGCTCCCTCTGTGATCTCAATTTTTATTTTATTTTTTGTTTAAGGATCGTAGATAATCCTTTATGAAAACACACATGCTTTTCGTTTTGTAGGTATCTACATCCTGATTGCTGTTGGTGCTGTGATGATGTTTGTTGGATTTCTTGGTTGCTATGGAGCCATACAGGAATCCCAGTGTCTTCTCGGAACAGTGAGTAAATAATCATGTGACCACTCAGCAAATTCCTCAAATCACATGATGCTCAACAATAACCGGAAGTATATATATTAATAGAATGACTGTTAAACCCTTACTTTAAATTATTATTATTATTTTTTTTTGCATTTATCTAATTATTCTAAGTATTTACTGAAGCCCTTTAACTGAATAGTAAGTTTGGGATCTTGCACTGTACTGAAAACAGACTCTTGCCCATATGCAGTACACATCCTTTTTTGTTTCTCTCCAACAGTTCTTTGCCTGCCTGGTAATTCTGTTTGCCTGTGAGGTTGCGGCTGGAATCTGGGGATTCATGAACAAAGACAAGGTTGGGTTTCATGTCAAGCTGACACATATACATCTGTTTACTTATTTTTGTAATTTTTGTAATAATCTTCTTGTTCTTCCTTTCAGATCTCCAAAGAGATAATCTCTTTCTATGACTCTGTGTATGACGCAGGCAATTCACAAAGTGAAAAACGTAAGGCTGCCGTTGCTGTCTTGAAGGTCTTTCACGAGACTGTAAGTATTCCTTGTGTACTGAGGAGCACAACAATAATCAAGCCAACACAGACTCACTCAAACCAGATAATGTTGTAAAGACGCATCTCTAATCAGTGTCATCTCTGGCTTTCAGCTTAACTGCTGTGGCAAAGGATCAATTTTAAGTTTTGCTGAAACTTTGAGGACAGAAACCTGTACTACAGAAATGAAACTGACGGCTGTGGTAAGTGCCCCCCCCCCCCAGTAAACCCTTGAGAATTTTCATCCAAATCATAATAATAATAATAAAAATGTTTTCTCGGTTTTTCAGAACTGTCACACCAAGATCAAAGAGCTATTCTCAGAGAAGATCTACCTGATTGGCATCGCTGCCCTGGTTGTTGCTGTAATCATGGTGAGGGATTCTTGAGTGTGTTTCTATAGGGGCCTGTGTGTCAAGTTACCTTCTACTATCATTTGATGTTGCTTGCTTCACATTTTACCTTTTATTGTGCCCCTTTTCCTTTATAGATCTTCGAGATGATCTTCAGCATGGTGCTCTGCTGCAGTATCAGGAACAGCCCTGTTTACTGAAACACAGGGGCAAGATATGTCCTTTAAAAACATCAGCCAAAAAAAAAAAAATTAATTTCGTTTTATATCTACCATCTCCTATTTTGTTTTGTATCTACCATCGTTTTATAATATAGTCACTCTGTCCTGTTCCTAAAGTCTCAGAACAATTTTTGAACCACCAACAGTGGAACCAACAACAACTAGTCTGCTATTGTTTACGCTGTAGTTGGCGATGACTAGTTACGATCTGTAGCTTAAGCAGTAGACTTATAAACACACACACACACAGTACATTATCACATAAAGGATGGATACATTTATTTGCTTGTAGTTTTATTTTGTGTGTTAACTGTTAAGTTTTGCTATTGCTATGGATTACTATCATTCTTTTCGTATGTACATGTATAAACTGTATATATTTGCAGCCCTGTATGGCTGAATAAGCATGAATCTCGTATTGAACACTCCTGTCCATCTTCTTCTTTGAGACTGCTGCTTGTATGTACACGTTTCCTCCTGAGAAACCACTAAATAAACAGTGTTAGCTAGGTGGGAGAGAAAGTCAGAATACTTATTTGAGGTAAGAATGCAAAGATTGAAACTTGTTTAAAGACCCAGATATACTTAATTTTCCGCGTTCTGCTCCTTCTAGCGCACAGTTGAGCGAGAAAGTGACACTCTATCAGGTTGACCTTTGTCTCAAATCACTCGCGCAGACACAATAATCGGGCAACACGTGCCAGCAGACAGGGAAAGTATATTTTCGTCTTAACATTACAGAGTCGACGAGCACTACGTTTGCTTCTTACACTATGCTATTCAGTAGAGCTCAGTTGGTGCAAACAAAGCTTAAATGTATTTCCTGGATTCAGTAGAAATTAATATCAGTAGACAGCACTTTTCCAAATTAACTGTACCTCATTTTCTTCAAAAACAGCTACAGTCTGGGCTACAGCACTGACACGGGTTGAATGTGGCCGAATCGCAAAAATTTTAGGTAGTATATTCAATCGTATTGCCTCAATACGCAAATAACATGCATTCTGACATCATTTTTTTTCTGTGTAAAGTTGTATCCAATTTTTACAACTTAGTTGCCATGAGAAATTAAATCTAAAACCTCAAAATGACCACAAAAAACAACTACTTTTAAACTTCAACAGAAAAATTAATGCTTTTATAAAAGTACACAAGCTTCAGATTTCTCCAGAAATGTGCCCCATTCACTTCCATTTTAAGTGTCTCGCCGTAGCCAGTTTATGTGGCAACAACTTGCCACAAATGCTGTCTGTTGAGCTTAACCTGTGAATTTTATTGAACCTGTAATGGCAGAAAGGGCGCTGATCTCTGATCATTGTGTTTCTTGTACGTGGAATCACATGAACGAAAGAGCTGATCCTAGATCAGCGTTTTGCTTTAGAACGCTGTAAACACAGAGCTCCTGATGCCCACTAAAATCTACTATCTTTTTACAGTATGTTCTATAGTGCAATGTGTTGTCCCATACAAGGAGTTGGACCCATTAAGGATTACTGCCTCAGTCGAGTTTACAGTAATCTCAGCCATGGAGAGGATCGTACATACCTAACAGCCTTAATAAATAAATGAAACCCCCTATCCCTTAATCACTAAAATCTTGTACCATCCAGATAATCAGGACTTTACCTAGGGGCAAATTGGCTCCAAATTAGGCCTGATTCCCTTGTGGGTGCCTGTAGTGTCACTCAACTGAAAAATCCAGTGAGTTTGTGTGAATGTACATGTATGCTATATGTTGACAGTGAATTGAGATGGACAGGTTTGAATGGTTATAGAATGGACAAGCTCTCTTCACTGCCACCTCTATCTCAGATGTAGTTGCTGTAATACCATGCCATTTTCACTAGGTGGCGCAAAGATGTTTCACTTTTACTGGTGATTACACTCTTACTATGCCCGTGTACATGTCTATCGTGCACTTATTCTTCTAGACCGCACTAATACGAAGCCCCCCCCCTACCTGATGTGATGTATGAATGCCATCAGATTTGTGATTTAGGCTACTTCATACATTATGCAACCTTGTCCTGTTAACACATATTGCCTATGCTGATATGCTTAAAAAGTGTCTTGTACAGCTATATAGTATACTAATGACTATGTAAAGACAATGTATGCCTTTAATTGTGATATCTTTTTCCTGGTACTTGTCAAAAAAATAGAGAGAACCTCAGCAATTATTTCTGTTGAAGCATGTAGGAATTTTAGGGGGTCCTGACAAGTCGAGCATGACTATTACATATATGAAGGTGAAACAGTTGTTTATGAAAATACCTGCCGTAGTTAAAATACATCAAGGTGTTTAAACACTATCAAATGTAACCTTGTGTTGTAAGGATCTCACTTATTTGATACCCAAATTGACAGCTGTCGCTCAAATCTCTACCCAATTGTAGATTTTGGTCTGGTTTTGTTGCCCAAATATTCAGGAATTAAATGTATTTTACAAATAACATGTCTTCATTTTGTTTTCCTTGTCGGTTGTAAATAAGAGATCTAAAAGTACTATTGGTATTTGTCACAATCTTTTTCAAAGCATGGAAATTACATTTGGGTCATTCTAGGTCAAATCAATTAGAGGTCACTAGATGAATATTTTCATTTTGTTTAAAAAAAAAATCTGGTGAAAGAAGTACATAAATGAAGAAGAAAGCCAAAATATTAAATGTTATGGATTAATATTTACTGAGAGATAGACTAAAGGGTGGTCAAGATAAAAAAAGAAATCGTCATGATTTTCTTTTTACAAAGAAATTGATCCTTAAAATATGTTGAGCGATATCTGTTGCATTGTATGCCAACGGTGACAATTCAAGAATGGTCAAAAGTACTGTTTTCATGTAATTCAAGCAGTATTAAAGATAATTTTAGATAGACATAATGAACTTTTCTTATCTTATTTTTTAAGGCCCAATATGGTTCCTTTCCATGGGATTTTAATGTGGCTCCATGAATAAATTGGTAAATTTATTTTCAGTGGTCAAAAACTAAAGGTGGGACACTTTTGTCTATCAAACCAATTGCATGTAGTACCTGTCTGAGTGCCATAAATATTGTTTCTACAAAGTTTGCGTGCCTGTAACTCAAGAAGAATACATCTTGATATCCTTCTAGATTCACATTTTTCATAACATTTTTCTTTTGTAATCCTCATTTTTAAGGCCCAGTGTAGTTCAGTCCCATATGGGGATCCCTTTGCTGCACTATTTCCACCCATTTTCAATGGTCGAAATATTGCAAATACTGCATATTTGACTGTAGCATATTAACTCGTGGTAGCTTCAGAAGCTGTAAAAATGAACACACCTTTTTAAATGAATGAATGAAACCTTTATTGCCCTCAAGGGGGAATTTGTTTTACACTCATGGGAACCACAATAAACATAACCACAAAAACATAGAATAAACATAAATAAAAAAAAGAATAAAGGCAAAAGTAACATGGAATATATCAATTTGACAACTTAAGAAATCAATAAATAAATATATATATTCAGTAATACCCTCTAAAAAAACCTCTAAAATATTCCGCTGCTTAATGGAATCAATAAATAGATACACGTATATTCAATAATGCACATTCAAAATAAATCTATGTGCCCATAGATGATTCGTTAAGTAGTTGAATGCTTCTAGGCACAAATGAAGTGATGTGTCGTTTGTGTCGTTCGTGATGTGTCGTTCTCACCTTTTTCACCTGAAACTAATTCAATTATTCTTATATTATACACTTTTGAGAAGTTAATGTGCATCAACTTGACCATTTCAGTGTATTTTTGTCACTCAAGAGAGGAGTCATATGTAATAGTTTGATTAAGGGAAACAAGATACTTCAGACATTCGGTTTCACAGAAAAGGTTGACGAAAATCAAATAAAATTCTTTATTTAAAAAGATAAAAATCTTTCTAAAGTAATTTTTGACCACTCTGTTATCTGGCTCCAAATCTCCAAATCTCATATATATATATATATATTCCATTATATCATATCATTATTTATGGGCTACTTTCAATAAGGAGGGGCTGTCCCAAAACCTAACCCCTAAATTTCAACTTGTGAAAATGATATAGAAATCTATTTATATATACAATTATTTATTAAATTATATATATTTATATAGTTAAATATATTTATTTATTTTTAAATCATGAAACTTTATCTAAAAAAAGTGTCCAGCTTTTTCGTGTCACTATCAAAACAGTGAATGTTGTAGTCCATTGGCTACACCCCTACATTTTTGTTCAGTCAATATTCCTGTCCCTCTCCCTCTCTTATATGCCATGGTGTGATTGATCCCATCATTTTGAGATAGTGTTCTAAAGTTTAAAAATCAACTTCAACTGTTCAACTTCAACTAGTTCAACTGTTTTGACCAGTGATTGTTAACAGTGTGCTGAATAGCATATTCGAGCTAGGCTCAAAAGTGACATTATTGTTTTGATAGGCCTAGTGACAAAAGGGAACACGTAATCCTTTATTTGGAGGAATAAACTACATTTTAGTATAGTTATGCAAATAATTAGCTACTATAAAGTTTTAGTAGTGTTTTAGTATGCAAGATTCTGTAATGTGATGAGGTTACTACTTAAGCTTGCAGTAAAATGCTTTGTGCATTGGCTCATACATTGTCAGTCGAGTATACTTTTATTTATTTAATTATTTATTTTGTCAATTACTTCCAGACATAGACGACAAAGTTGTTCTTTTAGTAGCAGTCTCTCAGTTTCAGTGTTGGGATATAGTGACCACCCTGGACTGCTGCATTGGGTGTGTCTTACTGAACCATGGGGCTTTCCTTTGTTTATAACAAAAGGCCATGGCCATTTCAGTAAGTGGATAAAGCAATCAGACAAAATAATGCATTCTTTACTGTATGAGTCACTGATGATTCTAATCGTGTATATACAGAGAATTTAGACCAACTGAACTGAAAAAAAAAACAACAACCTGAAATCTCTCTCAGTGTTGACTAACAGTTTTCACATCCCCTCCTCGAGGGATATCTCACCCAAAAATGAAAAATGCTTAACCTCAAGTTGTTCCAAACCTGTGTGAGTTAGGCTAAATAAATCATAAAATAAACATTTTAAAGAATGTTGGTAATCAAACATTTGACAGTAGCCATTGACCAGTAGTAAAAAAATTATGAAAGTCCATGGCTACTGTCAACTGTTTGATTACCAACATTCTTTAAAATATCTCCTATTTTGTGTTCTTGAAGAAAGAAACTCATACATGTATGGAACAACTTGGGGGTTAGTTGCTGATAACAAAATTATCATTTTGGGGCGAACCATCCCTTTAAATTGGGATTTTTTTTGGAACCCTGCATTTTTTTCTCCAATTTTTTTTAAGGATAAAAGTTCCTGGGAGGAGGAATGATGCAAGGTCAGTATCTGGGTGGGTAACACACATTTTAAGATACTCCTCTTTAAACAGAATAGTTAACAAGAGAAGAGAGAGAGATGAGCAAGAGTTGCTCATAAAAGGATATTGTGAGGCTGTGTTCAAAACCAACAAAAGACAAATAAGGGGGAACTTATCAAACAATGAAACCAGAGTCTTCTGCATTGGAGGTATGTAATCATTTTTTGTCATGTTTATTTATATATATTATTAGTTTTAGATTCTTCTAACCCTAAACCAAACCCTCGTCCTATGTGTATTATTACTCAGTACCTAAACGTATAATTAACACGAAGATAATACCATGTTTCTGAATGTTTAGCACATTCAAGTACTCAGAGAAATGTCAAAAGCTTGGTAAAACTACTTTTAGGTGAGGACAGATTCTACACGGTGGATCTCATATTACCGTTGTAACTCTAAACTGTGTGATAAAAACGCATATCTCAGTGCTGAGAGCATGTTGAACGAGGACGCCGTCGCCCCGCCCCCGTCCGGCTACTCTGTCCCTGTCTCTATTGACGACAGTAGCGCGCAGCTGCTGCCTACGTAGAGCTGGAAATCAAGTGTACGGAGCGCTGTTCATTTGACCTGCGCTCCGGGCAAACTACTTTTATTTCATATTGAAATTATTTTAGATTCGAAGAACATTCGCGGTGGGGGAAAATACATTATAGCTTAGTTTCTCACGAAATTCAAATTTTGAAAAAAAAAAAAATCTTTTTCAACGCGCAAATAAAAACTATTTGGATTGTGTCCTTTTTCCGAGCGAGTTTTCGGACTTCATCATGAGTGCAGTTCTGGCCACTGAGGGCCTGTTCTTCTCCGCCTTACAGCCCAGCACCTCGGTCACTACATATGCGATCCCGACCGATGACCATCCCAGGAAGGATCACTTATCGAAAGCCAGACGCGTCCAGCAGCAGGTCCAGCAGCGCATGGCGGAAAGATCCTCATCCTCATCCAGACTCAACGCCTCTACAGGTGAATAAAAAAACCTGCTGATGGTGATCCCTTATGGGTTGCTACTGTGCTCTTCACAACTCGGATAGAATGTTCAAATCATTTTAAACATTTAGTAGCTACACTACAATTTTAAACATAGGCTTACGTAGGCTACTCTAACACCGTAGAAGTTTTTAATACAAAGTGGATTTAGGATGATTCTAAAGACATGAATAAAATATAATTATAAAATATAATAGGCTATATAGTATATGACCTGAATAAAATGTTGGTGTTTGAAGTGTTTCTTCCTCTTTTTTTGTCCTTAAAATTATAGGCTAACTAATTTGTTATATATCAGAAACACCAAGGCTCACCATACCAGTAGTTATGTATATAACATGGATAACATGACTTATTCTATTAGCCTAAATTGTGTAGTTTAAGAAAACAACCAGAATATGAGTAAAACTTTACAGCATATAGGCTACAATAGCTGAACTTGAACACAATAGCTCTGCACAGACTCTGAGAGAGAAGGATAGGATCTGATTTGCATCAGAATGCAAATATCTGTAGATCTTAATGTGTTAGTCACAGTCATTGCATGTTGCAGGTGTGCACACTGGCTCTCCAGCATGCCTGTTGTTTTGCTTTATATCTTGGATAATAAGAGACAAAACATTAACTTTTGTGAGAGATCATTTTCATTCATTTTGTTTTGCATTTGGCTGAGATTGGCTGCTGGGAACCCCCTAAAAACAGGACACAAATACTTTGGAACAACTGATATCCTGATGTTTTCCTGAAAACTAGATGGTCAATTTGCCCTCAGAATGGAGTTAAAATTGTAAACGTTGCATAAGCTTGTGTGAATGGAAAATCGGCCCATTGTTCTACGATGAAACCTTGACATGATATATAGTCATTCAAATGCAAATGTGTAAAATGGATCACTCAGCACTTGTGATTTAGAGATGTAAGCCGTTGTGAGCAGTGTGGATGTGGATGTTTATGGAGGAGGAGTGTAACCCGTGAGAAAGGTATCATTTTCTTCTCTGGCTTAGAAAGGCAGGTAGAAATTAGGGCAAACCTCAGTCT